AAAATGCTACAGAGATGCAGGTGATGTGTTTGTGTACAACACATCTCACAGCTAGAGAGGAAGCAGAAGAGACAGTGAAGTCTTTCCTCAAATCCTGAATTCAAAACTGACCACTTCTGGAATGTGGTTAAATCAGAATTGTTTTTCAGGGATCTGGACAATATCTATTTCTGATGTTATCTACCTTATATTTGAAATAATTGCCAAACACATTTGTAGCAATAAAGAGGAACCTGAAGAAGGCTCCACGGCCGAAACTTTGTGTGATTTCTTTCTTCTTTTTTCAGCATGGAATAAACCTATTACTTGTTCCAATAAAGAGGAATACTGTTATACGTCTATAATAATCCTTAGAACTCAGTACAGTACTTTAGGGCACAGTAAATATCTCTATTCCTGTTATTCCCCTCAGCAGAGTTTCTTTTGTGAGGGACAGACTTTTTATTCTATCCTGTGGTTGGTAAAAGAACAAACTTTTTCAGTTCCAACTTATCCATTCCAGAATGTAATTCCAGATGTTATAGGAAAAACCTCCTTGGCTTGTTTCAGCTTTCAGAATTATCATAAATATTTATACATTTGTTTTAATCATATTTAAAAGAACCTTAACCTCTACTCCACACTGCAGTTATTCATGAATTTTATTTACTCAGGGCTGTCAGAAAATTGTAAATGCTCCATAACTTTAATTAATCTGCAGTGAAATGTCTGAATAGTGTGCTGTGGGTGTTTATATCCACAGGGCTTCAATGGGGAAGATGGTGGCTATATTTTTGTGACGGTTACCTGCAAACATTTTAGATAGACTTAAATTCCTTTTTGTGTGGTTTGTGGGACATGACAAGTTATTAAATAAATGTATGTAAAAGCAGTAAAAACATTAAGAACTTATTGTGTTTTTAATACTTTTTTAATTAAATAAATTAAGATTCTAAATATAGGTCTAGCAGGAATATTTCAGCCAATTTTTCTGCAGGTCAAAATCTCTTTCCACCTTTAAGTCAATACAGTAAAACTGGTAGTGCTCCACCTCCAAATAAAAAATGATATTAAAGTAAAGATGAACATGAAAAATATCAGTTTACTTGTAAGAATAATATCTCAGAGATAGAGAGTCTTGCCATATTGAAATATACATATGCATTTTAAATAACACCAAGCACAAACAGTGCACACAAACACTACAGCACACCAGGCTGGTACTTCAACTGGGGTGGAGGTAGATGCTCACACAGCAGAGAATTCCATTATGTGGGATAAGTAAAAGAAGAACGATAACTAACAGTAGGAGGTTTCAGTATTTCAGGAGCTAGCTGACCATCAGATCTCATCCATCCTCTTCTTGAAATCTCCGTCTATTTCAACAACCCGACTATGCAGTTCATCCCAGAACTGAAATTTCAGTTCTTACTGCTCCAGAGTCCTGGCGTCTCTGCTGTGTTGCTCATTTTTACACAGGAATTTCATTTACCAGGTATTTCAGTTCGATCTTTAATACTTATTTTTTATTCCAAACCAGAATGCCGAAAGGATGGAGATGAGTGTTTTTTTACGACTGGATTTCATAATCGTTTGAGCTTCTTTCCCCCTTTCTCCTCAGACCCGAAGAGATACAAAGAAAGACAAAAACAATAATTCAATATCAACTCAATAATAATTCAGAATCAAAAACTCCGGTCCTTGTTCGGTTAATCAGAATAGTCTGAGTGATATGTGACATCTCGTCGCCAGCGCATTATGGCAACTATGAGGAAATCCAAAGAGACAGGAAGACACCCAGACACAAAGCAGGGTTTATCCCTTGTCATGCAATCTGCCAAACATTGCCAGTGTAAAAGCTTATTCTGGTACAGTACATTCACCATAGGAATTTCATTCTTTTCCCATGGTTACACTATGGCTTGACTATGGATTGTCTGTGGTTCCCTAAGGCTACACTGTGCTCTAGAACACTGTGTCAAGGAAATGCCTATTAATGAAAAGCAACAATGGGAATGCTTACTACGGTACACAATGATTTTACCATAGTCCGGCATGGTAAAGCACAGTAAAACCATAGGATACTGGAAAAAATCCATGGCCAAACCGCAGGAAAACAAAGACAGTAAACTATCATAAGGGGGTGTTATCTGCTTCTGTTCTGGTTGTGTGAACACAAAAAGGCACATTCAAAGTGATTTTGATGGAATTTTCTGTAGGTCGTACATTTTATGCAGTGTCAAAGCATATAGGTCACCGTATCTACACTATATAGGTCACCATGTGTTACTGTTCTGCTCATGGAAAAAAAACGGTTTAGGGAAACACTTATTAAAATGTCATTATGTGCTTTTAGATTTTTCTTTGCTTGATTGGTTAAGTGAATTACTAGAAAGTTACAGTAATAGTATAAGCGGTTACATTTCCCTTGACAACTTGAGAAACAGAGAAAGAAACGAGCAACACAACCGCACTCACAGTTTCATTAACAAACCCCCACAAAAATTCAGATCAGGTTTCAATCTGGAGCTAATCTCACCATTTGTTTTAAGAAATTAATACCAGGCTCCACGCTGGTCCCTGCTGACTACAAACCAATTACAGCACTGCAGATTATATGTACAAGTAATTTTAGAAAACAATATTTTTTTCTTTTCCATCACACCGCTTAAATGTTAAACATCAGTTTTATTCATGTATATTGAAATGCACATTAATTTGTTCTGCTGCGTGTGTCTACTGCAGAGTCTTTCCTGGTGTCCAGCTTCACTGTTTTGGTTTTCGTAGTATTTTGTATCACACGTTTAATTTAAAAATGCAATTATTTCTTTTAATGCTCATAGGCACAGGGAGAAGACAGAAGCCCTAAAAAAAGAAAAGCTCATTTCTAAAGCAGGTGATTTTTGTGACTTTTCGCTTTTTTCACTGCAAATTCAATGTAAGTTGTATTTAAAGAGCTGGTGAGAAACCCAGATCAATCTAATACAACCGTGAAAAATACAATAATATATAATATTATAACTATAGATAATATGTATTATAAGACAAGTACTTTGGCTTCAATGGCAGTTCATAGTGTTTAGTTTCACTGAGGTAAAAAACAGAGGATGTGTTTTGGAAGTGGAAGTCTATACACCAGGCACATGAGGGATGAGTGCACCTTTCTTTTTTCTGAGTTATAAGCCTTGCATCTGTGAACTCTACACAAGGGGCGCGTCTGCAAATTCTGCTAAGAAAAAAGTCAAACAAAACTGCTTCTTTTGTTGTAGATGGATTACAAAGCAGACTCTTTCCTAATGATATCAAAATAGCATCTGTAACACCAACAACACAGTGTTCTCTACAATCAGCTGCTGGGGTTATGTGATTAGGGAGTTGGTGGGCTTTAAATCCATTTCCAAGGTGTTTAATATGTTTGAAAGATGAGCCACTCACTGAAGTCAGTCAGTCATCTGACGACTGACCAGCCTGGCTCAGCCTGTCCTCCAGGGAGTGTTTTATATGATCAGAATGAATATTTCACTCTCAGGAATGTGCCCTCAGTGCCACTCACACCCTGTGCTTCCAGAATAGGCTCTGGTCCATCATGACTCTCACCAGGATATGCGGCTTTCTGATGGCGGACATACTGTGTGGATGGGTTATTTTAATATCCTAAACGTGTGGGCGAGAGTCCTCCATCACCTTCCCTCTCTCTGCGATGACTGATGTCCTGTAGCAGTCACACACTGGAGGGGGTGATCTCAGAGACAGAGACCGTGGAGCTGGGATGTCTTCATGGGCTCGGGACCCTCTTCAAGGATGCAAAAGGCTTCAGGATGCAGCATGGGGTTACCTAACCCCACTGTCCCAATTACACCACCTGCTCTGGGGTAAAATGAGGTGCCCTAAAGAAGACCGTGGAACCTGCCTGTTTGCCCGTTTATTTTCTTATCTGTAAAGACTGCTCCTCTGTCCTTGGTCATAACTCTCGTAGCCTTCATCTAATATCCTGAGAGCCCACACCCAACACATCTCGGCATGACAATGTTTCTCCACGTACAATCACCAGCCTCCGGCACGCAGCTCAGTCCCTGTATTGGAGTCTGTTTCCGAACATTGAAGGACCACAGAGGATACAAGGAACTCTTTTGATGGGACATCGAAGTGGTCACTCGCCCTGTACAGGTCTGGTGTGATAAACAAATTAATGACAGCGCGCGCGCACACACACACACATGAAGGAGAATGACGAGCAGTTGATCTGTGAGTTTACAAGGCTTGGGCAAGCTTTATGGGACTGAACATTCAGCATCAGTGTGGCACTCATCTTGCAGTTTGTTCTAGACTCTTGCCTGACTCCAGTAGAACCTCTCTGCTCAAGTCAAAAAGTGGAGTTTGTCACCTGCATGCCTTCATGTATGTACACCTTCTGCTTCACCTGCCTTCTGTTGTTTTTTTTATGGAGTGGAAGTCTTTGAATCCCAGTGAAAGGAGGTACTGTATTGTAGACAGGGCACTGGACATTAATTAGGACATTGTATGCGCTGGTAGTATATTGGTTTTCGAAAACAAAATGAAAAGAGGATCCACACAGTCACACACCCCCACACACACATACTTCCTTTCCAATTGTGCCAATGCAAAGCAAAAAGAAAAAAAGTTTACGAGAATTAAGCTCAATGTGAACCTTCATGAATGTACAGTATGGATCACATCTCGTCCTACGGTCACATGGTAAACTGATCCGCCTTTTTTTTTTTTTAATCCGGGCGCTGTTTTTATGTTAACTCTGCATAACTTAGGATAACTATCGTGCTCTTTTCGTTCAGGTGCGTTTGCTCCTTGCCCGCGCAGAAAGCAAGAAAAAAAACCCGCTGTTGGTCTCTCTCTCCCTTTTTTTTTTTTCCAAATTTATAGCCCGCACCCCTGCTCCCACTTGCGGTCGGCTTCGTCGTGGGGAAATACGGTAATCAGGCACCCTTGCGCTTCTGACGCAACGCCTCGCTGGCGTGGCTCCGTGACGCAACCCAGTCGCGCCGGGGTCGGCCCGCCCCCCCCACCCCGCTTCCCGACGGCCGGCGAAGATGGCGGACAGGGCGATGCGAGAGCTCTCCTCGCTGGAGAAAGCTCTGGGGCTGAGCAAGGGGAACAAGTACAGCACGCAGGGGGACAGAAAGGTGACGCGGGTCTCCGCTGCAGTCCCGGGGACACGAGTCTGTTGGGGGAGAGGAAGGGGTGACCCAGAGAGAGAGAGAGAGGGGAGAGAAAAGGCAGTTGCGTGATGGCTGTACATGCTTTTCGCCATTCATTCGTCATCCCCACCCGTCCGCCTCTAAAGCGAGTGGACGCAGCGCAGCCTTTCACGGAAAACAGTCACATAAAACGGAGCTCAACTCAAGGGCTGAGGCGAGGAGCAAAATAAAAAAAGGCCTTCGATGTCCGTTTTGAGAGGCGAGGGGGTGGGGGGGATGATTTAGCGTGACACAGTCCTGTGCTGCTGCTGCTGCTGCTGTTGTTTGTTTTGCTGTCCGCATGCTGAAGTACGCAGGGGCTCGACATCTCTCTCCGGTTGGGCTCAATAGCCAGTTTAAAAAACAGCCTCACGTAGTGTATCCGTGCGCACAACGATACACGTGTGTACAAGCGTTTCGGTCCCGTTACCTTGTCTCTTTCTGACTACTGCTGTAGCAGCGTTTGCTTTTGCACACGTTATAACGATTCACAGGCCTTTCCAGTCTCTCTAAAGCCCCCGGCTCATTCACGGTCTGTAGGTTGGCTTTTTTTTTTCTCTGTTTGATGACGCCTGTATCCGAGCGCTTGGAAGCCTTTCACTGAGAGAGAGATTTGAAGTGCGGGTTTGATTTCAGCACCGCCGGTATAACTGGGCGCATTTCGTCATGAGGCGACAGAAATTCACTTCCCTGTCCACTTCACTTCCCTTTCAGCTGTTGGCAGTGCGACTCCTGCGTACCATGGCTTCCTATGACGGAAACAGTGCAGTAGTAACTGCTTCCAGCAGTCAGGAGGTCGTGGGGCTTGCACTGGATGGGATCAAATATCGTTGGTTTTGAGGGGGGGAACAGGATATAAAAACCAACATACTGTAAAACACTTTCTCTTTCTACTCTTTTCAGCATGGAATAAACCTATTACTTGTTCCTTGACTGGAAAACACTGCTCTCTTGAACGGTGGGGTTAAAATCGTCCACCAACCTGTTTTTCTTGTGGGAGCAGTTCTCTGTAGCTGAAAGACCTCGGGGCTGAACCCCTTCCCGACCGGTGCGGAGAGCTCCCCGCTTGAGGGCTGGAGATATGGGGGTGCTGACGCCTGCCTTCTGCCCCCCCCCCGCAGGTCCCGGTCCTCCAGGCCAGTGACGGGCCCAGCCTGGTGGGGCTGGTGACCATCGCCGCCCACCTGGTGCAGCAGGCCGGGCGCCCCGAGCTGCTGGGCTCCGGCGCCGAGCAGAAGGCCGTGGTGCAGCAGTGGTTGGAGTACAGGGTGACCCGGGTGGACCCCGGCACCAGGGAGGAGACCGGGACCATAATGAAGGTGGGCCGTTGCTCTCCTCTCTTTCTGGTTCTTGTCTTGTTTTGTTTTTTCCTGTTTTGCGGGTGGGACTGTTTCGCCCCCTTGAGTTGCAGCGAGAGAAAGGAGAAAGGAAAAAAGCCGTATCTGAGCCCTGGTGGGGGCGGTGTGGGTTTAAAAACGACGCGCTGGCCACGCCGGGTCGGAACCGGACTGCAGACGAGAAGCCGGAGCTCCGCCCTGAGTCGATCTGTTTGATAATTCCACCCATCAGTGGCACTGGGTGGTGTGAAGGTTTTTTGGGGTTGTATTTCCAAACTCATGTCTAGTTCAGTAAAAGAAGCAGTGAGCAAGTGAGTGTTTTATTTTGGAAATGAAGTACCTGTTGTGTGAAAGCGGCTCGCATGCTTTCGGGTACCAGCAGCAGATGACAGGCTCTTGTTAGAAGTTAAATCAACGGCACATTATTTTGAGTCAGTTGACTTTCGTCTCCTTTTTTCCGCAGAGCGCATTGTGATCGTTCGCTTTGATCCTTTTAACTCGGGGGGTCTTGTGTTCATCCACTCCATGCCAATGTGAAACGGTCTTAGGAGTCTGCTTTATCCACTGTCATCTTTCTTTGTTTTTTCATTACTGGGTGCCGCATGGAAATAAGTCTGACCCGTCACCCTAATTGAATATGACTTATTGACTTTGCTTTAATTATAGTTTCTGGAAATGAAAAGGTTTGTGTCTGTGCCGTTTAACTTGAGCAGCAGACTCCATTCCTCATCCTGTTTTTCCTTGCAAATCTCTTATGTCAGTGAAGTTCGACGTTTGTGCCACTTTAACTAAAGAAAGAAGGCAGCAGATACAACCAGGCCTCGAAACAGCCCCAGAGCTACACTCCCAGTTTCTCCTCCATTGAATTTCACAGCCATCCGAACGCTGACAGTAAATGGCTCGTTGTGAACAGATGAGGATGAATTGGTGCTGATCTCTGTTTACTAATGTTGTGTGTAATGTGTTTAGGAGGGTCAGGAAGCCTTAGATGTTGAAAGGACAGCTGTCTGTTAACCATTTGAAGCAGCAATTAGTGGAATCCTACAGCAGAAAGACCTTTTGTGTTTGTCTCTGATTGACTGTGACATCCTAATACACAGTTTCCTATTTGAGGATATTAAGTGTAATTCATTAATTAAATATGATCATTAGCCTTTCACAAGATTGTTTAGGAAGGCCAGTGAATTTCAGAAATGACCACAAAATCTCCTAATCTGATCAAAGGGTAGCAGAGCTGAAGCCAGTTTAAGCCATTTCTTTACAAAGCTTGTAGGACCACATCCACGATTAAAAAAAAAAAGGAGAACATTTTATAATCCTCCTGTATTGAATGGTTGCAATTTGTTTGGACCCACATCGACACTTTGGTAATTTGTCAAGTTTTTTTTTACTGAAATTACTCATTTGACACTTTTCTTCAAAGCAACTTACATTCAAACCTATTTTCACATATGAGGTAATAAAATCTCTGTATTTATTATATTGAACAAGACAATAACATGAGAGCTCATTTTTGGAACGAACCAAAGTTCATTAGTGTATTTTATTATCAAGTCATAACTTTCTGTGGTTTATAAGCCTGAGTTATTTTTTCTTTTACAACCAGTAGAGTAGAGAAAAGACTCCATTAAAAGCAAAATCTCACTTTTGCATTTCATTGCAGGGAAAAGAGTGATTGCTTTCTGGAACTATAAATTTAATTTAACTCGCAGAGTTAGGCATGCTTTTGATAATTCCTCGAATTAGATTCTGCCTTTTTGATTGCAGAATTATTCATCAGGAGGGAATGATAAGACAGTGTCTGTGTGTGTAGATTCTGTTTTGAAAGGTACAGTGCTGTTAAGGTCTGGCCAGGCTTCTGCTGCACTGTAGCTTCAGGGAATAAAGAGATACGATTGTGGAAGAGCAGTCTGCAGTCTTCATGCCTGCTTGGCAACATTGCACACTAACTAATTTGCCCTGGAGATCTGTGCTGTGAAAGTGGTGAAGATGGTTTTCTCCCCTGAGACCTGCACTTGGGCACAGTGCCAATTACAGCAAGAATTAAGGGATGGTTTATTAAATTAGTAAGAAAATGAGTCAATCTTGAGAAGTCTGCAACTTCCTTTGCATCTGTGGCAAAGTCTTAATTTGAGCAGCACATTGTACTGTAGGAGGTAACGTAACATGCAGAAATTGGCCTGAGGCGATGCGTTATTCACTTATTTTCTCATTGAATTAAGTCTCAGAAAACTATAAAACAAATGATTTTTTTATGTTCTGAAGTTGTTTTGGAAAGTGTTGGTTCAACAATGATTTTATACTTTATGCTAGAATATACACACTGTATTTAATATAGGAAAAAGACACTGGTGCTCTCGGATGTTAGTAGGTCTCAGCTACCCATCTTTACATCTTCTCATTATTCCGTTATTTCTGTGCTGTTGCTGTGATGTTTAGGTTTTTGATAAACTTTCTGAAAAGTGGGGGCCTTTCAAATTAAGATTGAAGATGCCCTGACGTCCTACCACCTGTCACAGGCAGTTAAATCAGCTTTGATCGAATGAAGCATCACGTATCCTGGTTTATTCTGGAGGACACTGGGCTGTTGACCTCTTCCTTGGTGGTCTATCTAACCCAACAGAGAGAGCTGCACCACCATCACTGAACTGCCTCCTCTGCATCTGCCCAGATGGCAGCAGAGGCTTGTGAGAATGGTTGTATTTTAGGAAAGATTAATGTTCGAATTTGCTCATGAAAAGGGTTCAAATTGATGTATTGTCCTTTCGGCTTTAAATTATCGCTGCTGTTGTGTTTCATGATATCCTAACGCAGTGCGTAGATGTGCTAGCATCTAGTCTGGAACAAGACATTGGCAACAGTCCATCTTTTCCATAGATCCAGTCAGTGTAGAAACAGTGCTGTACACAATGATTATATTGTTGTTTCCTCTAAGTACTAAATTAGTTTAAACTGTCATTATCCCAGAAACAGAATAAGAGGAATGCTTTGCAATTTTAAGGACCTGTGTTAGCCATAATTAGGTTTTTTGTTTGAAAGTGACACTCTGTATTCTGCCACCACCTGCTTTTGATGTAATACACAGTGGTAAAAAAAATGGAAAATGGAGTCCATTTATTCTGGGTTTTACACTTGATTTCACACTAATGTAATAGGTAATCAGCAGTTTTCGTGCTTGATTCCATTCATGTTCTATGAATCAAGCGTTGTGTGTGGCCAGTAAGGATCTTAAATGAGTAAATCTTTAATGAGGGACAAATCCACTGTGTTGTTTTCTTGTTTCAAGGATATTGAATAAAAGTATAACATGCTACATTGAACAAAGCCAGTCCTGTATAAAAAGTTCTTGACTTAGAGAAGAAGCTGTGTGGGAGGCTTTGAGTTTTTGTTTCTGAAATTGTTTTTTTTTTGTTTTTTTTTTCCTTTTCAGGACCTTAATCAGTATCTGGAAGATAAGGTTTATCTGGCAGGAGATGACTTCACTTTAGCCGATATACTAATGTACCATGGAGTTCACCCGATCATGGTAAGGTTTCTGAAATCTTGTGCGATACAGAAGTGTCCCTTCATTAACTGCCTCTGACCAGAATTGCAGTGAACCCCTACATTATTAATCAAGTTTTGTGAGTCATTTTATTGTTCCAACTCCAGTGTCGTTTGAGCGCGTGGGTAAACGTTCCCCTGTTTTTTAACCTGATGGCGTAAGTGGCTTGGTTAGCCAGCAGACCTGAGACTGGACGGCCATCCGTCGAGGGGCCTGGCCAGAAGACCACGGCGGTGTGGCCGATTGACGCCCTTTTGTGTCTCCCCCTCCCCCCCCCACTCCAGGCTGAGCTCGCGGTCCAGGAGAAGGAGACCTACGTCAACCTCTCGCGGTGGTTCGACCACGTTCAGCACTGCCCGGGGGTCCGCCAGCAGCTCCCCCCGGTGGTGGTCCTGAAGAACAGACTCTACAGCCACGCTCGCTAGGGGCTGCGGGCTTGTCCGAGAGGGCAGCGGGAGGCTGGCGGGGGGGGCGCCGTGAGGTTGAAGTCCGGACCGGCCCCCGCCAGCCGCGAACAGAACTGGTCTCCTGGGGTGTTTCCTGCCGTGCTAATGTCAAGGGTACCAAGAATGGGGCTGATCTGAAGCCAATTGTTGTTGTTTTTTTTTTTTAGATTTAGAAGTATTTATGAGTAAATAATCCGGGAGTTTTGTTTTTTTTCTGGGGCGAGCGGACGGGAGAGTTTGGAAGACAGCGGAAGCCCTCCCCTGCCTGTGGTCTTGGTGTGGCAGCTCTCGGTGCCATCCGTCCCCCTGGCGCGAGAGAGAGAGGTCGAGGCATGAGCAGTGACAGGCCTGTTAGTGAGGTCCTTAACCGGAGGCGCAGTAAAGAAGGGCTTAAAAAGCACGTGCTCACCACGCCTTTCGGTTTTGGGTTAGGGTTAGGGTTCACCCCGTATTCTTTTTTTTTAATACCGTTTCTTCCTCTATATGGTAATTGCTACAACTGTAAATTCTTGGAAGGTTAGTACTATACTGCTTTTGTCTTTGACTGCTAACAAAACCCCCTTTCAATCTTCACTTAATTACAACATTAACCGCAATCTTTAATATCTGTCCACAATTTAATATGAAGCGGCCTCTCTGTTTTGGAAGTGTTGGTAAAGTCCGTACAGCAGCTTGAAGGACAGATCCCCTATATGCTAACTGTTATTTTATTATTTATTTCCTTTTTGTACTTGGTTAGCTGGAGGGCTAGAAATTCTTTCATACTGGGTGCACAGTATATCGATTCTAAGTGTAAAGCCTTTTTCTAAAAGAATCTAGCAGTTAAGACTGAATGGGATCACTGTACATCGGCTCTGTCCATCCTTATTTAGAGCAAAGTTTGCAAATTCCAAACTGTGTAGCTACAAAATTGTGCGTCACTGTCGGTTGCCTGACTGTTAACACTCTGGTGTTGTACTCTTGTTGATCAACAGCAAAGGGGAAGTTACAACTCCATGCCTTTAAAATCTCTCCCCTGTTGTTTACAAAGCACAGTCCCATCCATGGCAGAAGCACCACCAAACTTCATTTAATTAATGAATGAAAAAATAATTTCGTTTGTAAGATGCAAGCAAATTCTTCATATTATGACTTAATTTGGTAATATTTACTTTTCAGATGCTTTTTGCTTTTGTCTCACATACTCCCGATCTTGATGATAAAACCCAGTTTTCTCTCCCTTTTTATTGTTACCTTTCCTGTCAGCTTTGTGGCGTCAGTACTGTATGTGAACTGTTGACTGCTTACAAAGCTGTAAACTTAATGTTATTTAATGGGTATCATGTATTGTCTTGTGCCAATAAAAAGGGAAATGACTACTACACTGGCTGCCCCTTGTGTGTGCTAAATTGTCTTAAAAAATCTTCTTGGTTGTAGATTTGCCTCTTTACATAGTATGGTTCCGGGAAAAGAGGATTTTGTGCAGTATGAACTTAGAAACCATATCCTGCAGTCACTGGAACATGCCTTGTGATTAGAATGGACAAGATACTGTAGCGAGGTCTGTAAGTTGCCTACTGTGTTGCATTAATTCTCTTTTGAATGGAAACAGCAACTGGAGCTGTTGCTCAGACCTGCTTGTGGAGGACTCTTTAAGAACCGACAGGCGGGCACCACTGGTCACTGGGAGTGTGACGCTCTGGGACGGGATGGGATCCCAGCCCAGCAGCATGGCAGCACATTCCTCGCAAGGATGAGGGACTTTCTGTTAATGAAACGATGGCAGGGTGGAGGATGAGGTGGCAGGAGCTTGCACCGCTGACAGACATTGGGTCACATCACAAGCCCAGGTGACGGCGCATGGCGGCACAGTACATCAGTGTCTGACAGGAATAGAGGGCGTGTCAGGTCAGGACTTGGTCGAGGGTGGTCTCACGGCGTCCCATCTTCTCTCTTCCTTCAAACACACTGAATCCTAAGGCAGGAGCCAGCAGAGCTGTGGCATTTCCACAGGCTGGAAAGCATCAAGGAGTAATGAATGATCTGTGATTTTTTTTTTAAGTTGAATTCTGCTGCTAACATTAATTGTGGATGTCAGTCACGTGATGTGGTAATGAGGGTGACACACAAGAGCTATTTACATACCTGGCAAAAAATATCATTTAATCCATCTTTTTTTATGAACTAATCTTCCCACATTGCTTGGCATAGCTGCATTAAATAAGTGCTTGTGACAGCGTAAGTATTATCCCAGAATTACAGTTTGTGACAGATCTACCAGACAGCCTAAGAAGATGGCATCTGACAGCCCTTTGCTATTATGCAACAGAAAATGTAATTTCTTGTGTGTGTGGGTGCGTGGGCAGGGGGCTGTTTTTGACTCTGTGGGGAACACGTAAAATAAAGCCCATAGCAACATACTGTACGTCGGCAACACTTGAAAGGTAAGCAGCATTTTCAGAGTTAAAGCCTGCTTTTCACCCAGAACAGTTCTCCGTACAACACTGGCTCACTGGGAAGCCCAGGTGTTCTAGGAGAGCAAACAAGAACAAGATGAAGCACATACGCCCATCAATCACGGAGCATTTGATCCCGAAACAGAGATAACGTGCACATGCGGAAGCTCGGGGGCATGGATCATTCCTCAGTTCAGGCTGGAGTGAGACTGCTCCAAAATTAGCAACAAACTCTACCTGTTCCAGCTCCAGAGTTCACACGGTCATGCATTGCAGAACTGGCACCTCCGACGCGTCGCTGTGGCCAGCGACCCTGGTACCCCTTAAGAGACAGGGCGCTCATTCCGCCATCCCATCGGCTCAGATTGATGTCATGGGATGCTTACGGAACAAGCGCACAGTAATTCAATTACCCACGTTCAAGGCCCTCTTACTGTATTTTGGTAAGTGGTTAAATGAGTCACTGCAAGCACAAGTCACTACATGCATTAGTAATTCACCGCACACCCTGCAGCTTTGCCGTCATCAAGACCTACCTTAGCAGGACGGCAGGAGTAATTCAATAAATTAGCATTCGTACATCAACCCCTGCTCCTGCCCGCGATTCACCTGTCCACTGGCCGCTGGTCTGCGCTTGCAGTGCGTGTTTACTACTACAGTGTGTATATCGTATGGGTTCAAGCTAAATATCTTAAAAATTGGTTTGGGGGGAAGGTTGTTATCTAAACTATTGCTATTCTCAATTTCACAGTTTTGTTTTGCGCGAAGAAACGTAGGCGGAGTTGTGGTTCGCGTGGGATTAAAAATATATACATATAAAAACAGAATTTGAATCAGATCATAGCAGCTGGCTTTTGAATCACACGGTCTTTGACTTTTTCCTAGTCGTCCTGTGCTGCACACGTTGTCGTGTAAGTCCCTGACATGAAATCCTGAAAACCACAGACCGTATCCGGTGAGGATGATGTAGACGGCAAGAAGCCGAAAATGAAAAAGACAGTGCCATGTCTTTGTATTTTAACGGTCTGAACATGTTCCAAATTACAAGGTATTTTTTTTTTGTTTGTTTGTTTGTGCCCTGCAGGACTTGCCGTGTAGCTTCAATTTGCGTCCTTTGGTTTAATCTCTTCTGATAGAACCACTGAAACAGCATCTCCACAGATGAGGTACTTACGTTAATAACAAGTGAAAATCGTGACAAAGTGTATCCTTTTTAAAAAAAAACCCGCACTGCATCTGAAAGCATTAAGATGAGAGACTTCGGCAGTCTGTGATGTCCCTAGCAGAGCGGGCTGAGCCTGGAGATCCGTTACTCGTTATGTGGAAGATACAAGGGGTCAGCGCTCTCAGCAGAACCAGTAATGACCACCAAAATGTTTTAATTATCATTGGGGGCATGTGGGAGACTCACAGCTTCGGGGCCATCTGCACATATCTTTCTCCTTTGCGATTTTTTTTTTAATTTCCCTCTTATTAAGTGCAGGTTTTAATCTGTAATGACTCGTCTACGAAAACCCGCAGTTAAATGCCCTTTTGCTTCTAATTTGTACTGTAGCTAGTTTATCCCTTTTCCTACATGACGGGCGGAGGCAGATTAATTTAGCTTTTTTGGCGACTGTGAAGTCTGACATCGGTATTTTTTTATACTCCGACTGTTTAAAACACTTCACGATGCTTTGCTCGCTACCTTGAAGTATTCAAGAGGTAAAATCAGCAAGGCCATCACCTGCTGTTTTGGGTTGACGCCATTTACAGAAAATAAAAATAATTTGTGGATCCTGTACGTTTAATCACAGTACTGCGTTTTAGGGAACAGCTTCAAACCGCGTTTCTGCGATTTCTACTGTTTGAGCCCGCAAACAATTAAATGTGCAGGGATGTAAAAAAAAAACAAAACCAGTTGTTCTCCAAGTGTGTCTGATTCACTGAATATGAAGAAGATAAGAAATACTGCAGATTTTTTACGCATACTGTATGTCTGGACAGACAATGATGTGTAACCAGAAGTGTCCCTCTTGCTTTTGCCTCACTGTTTAAATGTTCATATTGCCTTTATTGCTCACTGATCTGATACTGGACCGGGGGCATGTAGGTAGACACAGCACGAAAATGTACTGTACCGTACAATGTACTTTACTCCAGTCAGCAGCACCGGACTCAACACATGACCTTCGTAGGGACAACTTTTTTTTTTTGTGGTGGGGGGCAGAAGGAAACGTTAAGAGATGTGGGGGGGAAAATCTGCCAGCTGAAAGGTTCAGTTGAGTCGATGTGTCCTGTTTCTGCACTTTTATTTTGAAGACAAAACTGTATGTGTAGTGCAGCAGCCGAGGAGAGCCGCCCTCAGAGAAACCTGAAAAAGACGCGCAGCTGTGTGCGAATGTGGTTTTAGGATTTCGTAAGTCTAAAAAAAATCCCTTCGTTATTAAAAGACTCCTTTAATTGCAATAACTTATAGGGCTATAAATACGTCCCACCACTGAGATGGTCCTTTATCCGGCAGCTTTGTGAAGAGGTTAGCAGCTATCTGAGCACTCCTGTGTGCACGCCACTTCCAGTCAGTTATTTTGCTGATCTCTTTATTTCTTAGCTGAGCTCCCTACTATACAGAAAAACCTGCTATTGCGGGGCATCTTTTGGACCGATCTTACAGCTTATTAAGCAGACTCCAGAGGATGGGAAAAATATTAGGTGAAAGGCTTTGAAAAACAGAACAGGAAACCGTGAGTAAGACATCCCAGATACAGTTTCTTAGCTGTATTATAGATTGCAACTCAAATCACTGACACAAAGATTTGAAATAGTGTTTGCCTGACCACTTCTGCAAGGGATTAGTTAGTGTGAGACGCTTGCCCACCCATCCACTACCAGAAAGCAGGTTATTCCTAGTAAGAGTCTCTGCAGCCTGGAGCCTGCCGCAGAAGCAGCACATTCGACCTGACCGGCACGGCTCTGGAAAGTGTGAGGGAGCTATAAGCATTGGTGCCCAGGCAGGTGCGGGGAGTCACCACGCAGAGGGTGTTCCCAGGGCAGAATCGAACCCAAGGCCCAAGAGCTGCGAGGCATCGGCGATGCCCCTGCTCCATTTCGCACGCAGGCCTTTAGTATCAGTTTAATTCATCTTCTTAAAGTCAACACCGGTCTCAAGACAGCCAAGACAGTTCCATGGCGGTGTGCTTTACAACACGTCTTCACGCAGTTGGCTCTTGGTCTGGGTTCAACCCACTGTCTCCCCCACAGTCATCTTCCAGGTGCCCTGAGCCGCACAATGACACAGCCGGATGGACCAAAGCAGTGGAAACGCTGCCCTGGGCCGAGCCAAGCTGGTGCTGAAGGAGCCCCTGTTACATTTGCACAAGCGTGTGTGTACGTGCTGTGTGGTCGATCAGTTTTCCAGGAGTTCTGCTTCATTTTTCGCAGAAACTCACATCGATTCATCACTCCGTGTGGATTGACTAGTTACGTGCACACAGGTTGCTTGCCTCTGTGGCCTCACAGAAGAGGGAACAGCACAGACAGCGGGTTCTTTCGAGCCGCGGTGGGGCTGGACATGTAAGTCAGAGAGCAGATTGACAGGATGAGCTTCCCAGAGAAGGCAAATACTGAGGTGATGGGTGAGTGTGTCAGTGTTGAAAACTTGAAAAGGAGTTTGGCGGAAAACACATGGATTAAACAGATGTGCTCAAAAGTGCAGCCCCTCCCTCCCTGCGAGGTTTATTTGGGAGAGTTATGAATAAAGTTTCTCTTTCAGGCTAAATTTAACCAGCACATGATACACAGCTGATTGTAGGCTTTTAAAAAGTAATGTGACGCAGGGCCCCCATGAAATTGACATTTGCACCCATTAAAAGACTAAGCAAACGGGACAAGCCATCCCTTTGTGCTGCAGGCAGATCCAGCATGGGGCAACCTTGTCTTGTGTTCAGTC